CCACTGATTTCTAGTCGTGTCCTCTTTTGGAAGGCCAAACAAAGTAGTTTCGCTTTCACAACAAAACATAGCGTCACACACGGCCGGCTAGAGTGAGCGGAAGCCGGAGGCCTAGAGTGAGCGGCGGCCGGTGGGCTTGTGAACGGCGTGGCGAGCGGGCTTGCGGCAACCACATGTGACGACCCCGGGCTGGACTCCGCTTCGTCCACGGTGAAAGCCGATCCGGCGATCCACAGCGTCAAGTTGATGTATTCCCTCAGCGACCAGCACGGATCAGCTCCAGGCATGACGAAGCGGATATCGTCCTCTTTTGGAAGGCCAAACAAAGTAGTTTCGCTTTCACAACAAAACATAGCGTCACACACGGCCGGCTAGAGTGAGCGGAAGCCGGAGGCCTAGAGTGAGCGGCGGCCGGTGGGCTTGTGAACGGCGTGGCGAGCGGGCTTGCGGCAACCACATGTGACGACCCCGGGCTGGACTCCGCTTCGTCCACGGTGAAAGCCGATCCGGCGATCCACAGCGTCAAGTTGATGTATTCCCTCAGCGACCAGCACGGATCAGCTCCAGGCATGACGAAGCGGATATCGTCCTCTTTTGGAAGGCCAAACAAAGTAGTTTCGCTTTCACAACAAAACATAGCGTCACACACGGCCGGCTAGAGTGAGCGGAAGCCGGAGGCCTAGAGTGAGCGGCGGCCGGTGGGCTTGTGAACGGCGTGGCGAGCGGGCTTGCGGCAACCACATGTGACGACCCCGGGCTGGACTCCGCTTCGTCCACGGTGAAAGCCGATCCGGCGTAAAACTAGCCAACAAGCCATATGTGTTGACTGTGAAAGACAGTATACTTTAATTATATGCATTTATGGTGCAATTGCTACATTTTAATTTTCATATGTATTGCAAACAATGTGCTGTCACTTTAATTAAGCGCGTGTATCCCAGCAAAAATAGACTCGTTGCGGAAACGATCTCTGCACTGCTGCAGATGCACCGCTCCTGAACGCACTGCCGTGTGCAGTGTCAATGCTTTAATCCATTAACATGAGCGTGGAAAAAAATACGCACTACATACCACGCACTGCAAACAGAGTAATGTGAACCTGGCATTATGCGTGTGCGCTGCAAGTGTGCATGAGCGCACGGTCTACAGGAGAGCGTGCGAGCGCTGAATGGTTAAACACGGGCAAGAATTAAAAAGTAATGCAAAAACTTTACTTTAGTTGTATAAACTTTAGTGACGATGTGACACTGCCTCGATTGTGCAAGTGACAATTCCTGTGTCAACTGTGCAGCGTGCAGCTCGCTTATAGACAGACGCGATGTGTGGTGATTTGAAGCCATTCGCGTATTTTGAGAGAGAAAGAGAGAGCGCTGATTCACTCACGCTGTTTGTGAAATTACGTCTCACACAAGGTTTTCAAATTACTTCGCAAGTGATTTAATGAAGAAATATGAAGGTGAGTACCTCACCTTCAGCATTATAATTATTTCACCCGCGCCGGACAGAGACTGAGACGGTGCCGCTGCATGTCGTGCCAAACCTCTCACGGGAGCGTCATCAGCTTGAGATCGTTTTTTTGAGATCGGCCTTTTAGAGACCGCCGATCAATCATCCCAACGTGATTATCGGCCGATAATGATCGGTAGCCGATCAATCAGAGCACCCCTAGTATTTTGACACTTTGCTGCTTGTGACCTCTGCTGCTTGCGTTGTTTTCTGCATTAGCAGTGAACATATCCGTAAGCAGTAAAAGTGAAAAACAAGACCAAACAAACTCTACACAGGACTGAACAATAAACAAACCACATCAGTGCCGTGTTCAAAACTGGAAGGTTAGTGTTCATGGTGTTGGCCTAACATGATGGGCAACATGACACCTATTTCAGGAGGACAAAAATAATATTACAGGCCTTTGGCAAATATAACTGCAGGGACTCTGGTTGGGACTCGCTGCTGCTAAACAAACCTTCCTTCTGTTTCTTTTCCCGTCTTTCCACACATAAGAGTGCTCTTTTACTGCCACACGGGAATGTGGCGTAACCTCTTACACAAACTCGGCTTCAAGAGATGTGCACAAAGTAGAGGAAGAGCTAATTCTCCATGGTTTAAGAGAAGGAGTCGCCTGATGGCAAAGGAGAAAAGGTGAAAAGAGCCACCAGGAGGATTCTTTGAGTCCCTTGACAGACAATAGAGTGCTGCAGGAATGCATTTTTGCAGGCCGGTCAATGGGTCTATGGGGTTATCATTTTGTCAATGGTTTCCTATTGGGTTGTTGTCATAGGAACAAGGGTGATGCTAACTCAAACACAGGCGATATGTCCCTCACTGCGGCACTTTTGAATAAGTCACATAAATGACTAAATAAAAACTGCATAAAACCACTCATATTTTGGAAGCATGTGAATTACACACTTCACCTGAAAATCAACTTTGAACCTATGTTTAACTGCACTGCTGATTACAGGCATATGACTATGAGGGCCAGTCGGGTTGGACAACATCCAGCTGTAAGTACATAAACACGTCATTGAAAGGAAGCAGGGAGAGACCAGGGAGGTCATCAGGATGTTGCACTGATAATGCAATTCACAATCTAGCTTATTTTAATAAATAATTCTGGTCACTGTAAAAACTTTTGAAAGTTAAGGATTTGGAGGAGGAGGCTTGTAAACATCCATAGCTCAGATAATGATACATGGATGAAAAAAAGAGCAGCCGGAGAGAGAAAGAAAATTAAGTTTAGAGAGCTAATAAATAAGGAAACAAGGATGACCATGAGCACACAATTCACCAATTCAGCTTCAGGTTAGACCTTAGTTTAAAAGTTCTCCTTAAAAGTCATCAAAGCAACAGGTATATGAACTAAAAGTCACCAAACTCCAATTTTAAATTTTGATGTCACTTCATGAAATCTTGAGCATTCAAACAATATATCTGACTTGCAATTTTGTCATTTTATCAAGCTAAATGCATTTTAAAAAATCACTTAAGAAGCCATTGGCTTCTATAAGAAACAAAAATAGGCACCAAATTATTTGAAGTGACACAGAATAAAGTTTTTTTCTTTTTTTTTTTTAAACACCTTAACATTTCAGTCATACTGTCATGTGTTTAGCCTCGTTCAGACTGTCAGCCCAAATCTGATTTTTGTGCAAATCCGATTGAAATCCGATCATATTAAGATAGTCTGAACGGCATTTTTGCAAAAAGCCACGTAAAACGTAAAAACGTCAGACGTTTTTGTAGAAAACATAATGAACGTCTTTGCAAAAACAAACTGGTGTTGTCAAGCGGAAAAAGACAATATACTGCTAGCTAGTATATGCACCTCTTTGAGTTTTGAAACCAGCGGAGATGGCAGCACGGAATAAAGACGCTCATTCCAACTTCCTGCGTTTCTGCCGCTCCCTCATAAAACAAAATCCATAATAATAATAATAATCCAGCGCGACGGCAACATGTTGTCATGTCATAAGACAACATCTGTATTGCTAACTGTGTTGCTGTTATTGTTGTTTTTAGCGTTGGCATAACGCAAAGCCATTGCCATAGAAACCATGGCACATTCCGTAAAACGAAAGGGCGCTAATGGACACACAAATCGGATATGAACAGTTGCGATACACTGTGTGGACAGTCAGTTATTCAAATCAGATTCCATCCGGTTATGC